ATGAATAGGCGAATTAACGTTCTCCGCCTCATTAAAATTCACCATTAAATTCCGTCTAATGAACCATATTCCCTTCTCGGAATATTCCTTGTACTTCTTGGTGTTTCGGCTATAGGACTATCACTCGCGTCTCCGGTCAATTCCATATCTCTAGGTGAATACGTAGTTTGTTCCATGTTTGATATATTTCCGCACACAATAATAACTAAAATCACGTAAAGTCACAATAATCACAAAAATGCTTTAATCCTGCATCCACACGCAAAACATTTGTAAAACTTGCTGATTTCTCCACTTTGTTTGCGAATGTAATGAATATTTTCACTTTTTATGAACATCACAAAACAATTCGGACATTCCTTTCGTTTTGACACATCCTCCGTTCGAACGAAAATATAGTTCCCACTTTCATCAACATCGTAAATATTAACGTATCTTGTCCGGTTGCCTGGTAGAGACATTTTTTTAATCCATCTGCACACAAAGAAAGTCGAAATTTCCCGAGTTATTTTTTTCCCAACACAGAATCAATTATTCACAAATTCACAGAATTCACTAAAATTTTAATTCCGATTTAAATCACTGTGTTCACGCTTTAATTCCTGTTCACGAATTAAACCAATTTACACAGAAATCACTCCAAGAATATTACCACATTATAAGAAATCCATTTGAATCATCATATCCCACCGGAATTATTAAATCCCACCGGAATTGTTAAATCCCACCGGCCTCCACCAGTTGTAACGTTTTTCCGATACGGTCTAAGGGGAATAACTCTCAGTGTTTTCCATTTCTTCCAATGAATATTCTTGAAATGATACGCAAGTAATCAAGTTTACGGTTTATTCACATTTTAAAATCCACAATAGCATAAACACAGTAAGTATAAAAATCCAAAATAAAAATTGTCCGAAGTGATCGTAATGAATATGAAAACCTGACTGACTAACTGTCTAAAATCCCTCCTTATTTATACATAAAACCCATTGCTCGCGAGGAGCAATGCAATGTAAACAAAAACCCATTGCTCGCGAGGAGCAATGTTATATAAACAAATCATAGTTACATAATAATTCGCTACAGTTGTATACCGTATATATATTCCATAATTACTCAACACTTCTTCACCCATGAATTCAAATCCCCACGAACCAAGAGTTTTATTCAGTCCTCGAAAATTCCCCCCATAAAATAAGTGATTTTACAGTATATACTTTTAATCCATTCTGACCGTCTCAAGTTCTACGAGGGCTGTTCAATAAGTGAGATCCTCGGTGCTCAAAAAGATACCAAAAAAAAAACCGCTTTTCAATTATTTAGTCTTCATGATTTCACTTAGATATTTTCTTTTAATTAAACAAATGTCCGTAGCATTTTTTTTACAATTTCTGATTGTTTTTCGAACACATTTTAAGTATGAACCTTTGGATACTGGAGTATGACTGATCCTATGATTCCCTGGACTTCTTTCCTCTTTTTGAAATGTTTTTTTAAGCTTGGAAAATGAAACAAGTCAAATTGTAAAAGATCTTGCGATAATCGTTGGTTTGAGCAAAGATTAACTATCTGTTTATCCCTTTACTCTTCTAAGCGTTTGGGTTTTGACGCTGTCATTAAGACATTCAATGTAACTTGAATGTTTTTAATATCCTGAAGAACCAAAATGATTTTGAACTGCCATACATCGATTTGATTCCGAAACTTCATAAAAATCATTACAAACAAAGATACATTGCGGGTTCCAGTAAATGTTCAACCAAGCCTCTTTCATTACCCCTCACTAATTAAGATATTGACAGTGGTGAAGGAAAAACTTCAAGAGTACTGTGCAACAATATATTCAAGTAGTGGTGTGAGTAAGATGTGGATGCTCAAAAATTCCAAGAACTTTTGGACAATTTGAAATCACAAGATTTTACCAAAACTCAACAGCTTAAAAAACTTACGACTTTTCAACTTTATAGACAACCATATCCACGATAAATTAAAGTCCAGACTTTTTGATATCATTGGTAGCTGCTTTTTCAATAAAGTCGTAAATTAACTTACCTCGGGTCATTGCTCATTTGTTAAATTATTTTGTTAAAACATTTTCTGATTGCACACACAAGTATTCTGAAGTTGACATCAACAAGCTGCTTGAGTTTCTGATTGACAATATCAATGTGGTTTTTGGAAATCAGGTCTTCCAAAATCTAGTGGAAATCCCATGGGTACCAATTGCGTCCCTTTATAAGCAGACCTATTTTTGTATTTATATGAAGCAGAATGTGTGCAAAATTTATGCGTGAAAAGATGAAAACACTGTGGCCTTCAACTCAACATTTAGATATATCGACGAGGTTGTTAATTTACAATAGTAAATTCCATGTCGACACGATATATCCTGGTGAGCTTGAGGTAAGAGATACCATAGAGTATGGCACATCTATTTTATACTTGGAAATTTTATTTTAAAAAGACGTTAATGGCAATGTTACAACCAAGCTCAATGATAAACGTGACAATTTTCCTATCGTCAACTTCCCTTACTTATGCAGCAAAATACCTTCATCACCTGCATACGGCGTAAATATATCTCAGTTGATTCGATAGTTATGCAAGAGCATGCTCTACGTATATATGAACAATTTCTAAAACGAGGTAAATTATTGACAAACAAGTTGATGAAACTAAAATATCAACAGTCTCATTTAAATTTCGTAATTTCTTTGTTCGATACAAGAATCTTGTAAGGCAGCAAATATAATTTATCACTGAGTCAAATGCTGACTGACGTTTTTCATACTTATTGTTAGTCCATTATTAATACCTAAATTGCCGACGGATTTTCCGTTATTTCCTGATCATGACAAGGAGCACACGGCGGGTGTGACCGGTCGGCAGGGGATGCTCTATCACTCCTCCATGAGACCTGATCCCACCGTGTTTACTCTGCTCCTAATTTGTATTGGTTAATGTAATTTGAGATTGAATACTGTTCGTTATCTCTATATCTTTCATGTAGTGGATTCTGATTCTGGTTCCACTCTCTCATAAACCTTTCGATTTTTTGCAACAATTTGCTTCCTAGACTTCTCCAGAAATTGAACTGCCTCTCCGAATAAGAACTTGAACAACAAGACCACTAATATTCGAGAAAATGGCATATAAAACTGTTTTTATACTTTTAAAATTCTTTGGTCATCTCAGACCTTGGTTGTTTTTGTCAAGTGCATCTTATTGTAAATTTGTTTTGAGGGTTTAAAGCAATGGATTCAAGTTTCATTATCTGTTTGAATTTCAGACAAATGTTGATAACTCTTATTTCGATTTTTGTTAAATGATTGTTTAGATAGTCTGATGTCTTTTTCACTGAGTTTTTCAAAACATGGGGTGACCTTTGAGTACTACGCTTTTAAATATCAAATGTTTCTTTTAAAAAAGTGTAAACTATCCTAAACTCGATGCCTATCAATTTTTCTATGTATCTTAAAATCAATCAAACATCGTCAGTGAAAATTTGTTGAATTCTGGCAAACAGTATACTGGTTGTTGCAAGTCTTTGTCGCCAAGGAACTTCAAGGTGCCCATTTTCGATGCCCATTATATCATTTTGGTTTTTTGAAATCCACGTGCGCATGTGTCTATAAAACAATCATTGATCATGTTGATTGTTGTAAATTTCACATATTTCAGTGAATATGTCTTTGGGATATTTAAGAGTTTTACAACAGCTTTATTGAAGCGTGTAATGTAATTCTAGTTCACTGATTCTTTATACATGTATTACCATTCATTTTTAATGCAGATTCTCAAATGTCCCTTGCTTTCCAGCTTCTCACAATGTATTCATAACTAACTATTCAATCATGATAGAAAGTCAAGTTTTATGTAATATGATTTCTATGCTGTATATCACAGAGTTCAGGACATCATTTATTGAACGGCCTTCGGATTTTATCGAATTTAATCTATCGTCTAGGTAATTTTCTGCAGAATTCAAAATAATTATATTAATGATGCTTGGATGAACGATTTGGGTTCCTTAGGATGGGGCCCTTTTATGATAAATAAATCGAAATTCTTATTATTAATTATATTTACATGCAGAAACGACGTGTCTAGCAGATCTATCGTCAAGTTGTAGGGTGAAAAAGAACATGAACACGTTGGATGATTATCAATATCTAGACACTGCAGTTCTATTACTGTTAAACTTATTGAAACATTGGTCGATGTTTACATGCATATGAAAGAAATTAAAGGTAAATTTCAACTTGATGTATGGTGGAATACAATTAAGACAATTAGCCCTTTAGTAATTAAGACTATTTCTTATACAGGCACATGTATTAACTGCGTCAATACTTTTGTTCATATTTGATAGCATGTTGTATAGTTTAAGGAAGAAATGATATTTTCTTCCAAAAATGTGGCAGTTAAAGCAGCCTTTGATTTGCAATGAAAATAAAAATAGACCCCAATCAGTCCTCTGGTGTCAAGGAATTCAAATGTGTACTTTCCTTGACTTTTATAGATAGACTTTTCAAAACTTTCTAAGAGATATAGTAAAGTTTGGTGCATAGTTATGAAGTCCTAACTGCCTATTTACATATGGCTATTACGTCGATCATCGATCATCTATAATAGTTTTATTTTAAGACTGACGTATATAATTACCCTTACGTTTCTGTGAATTTTAAAAGTCCTAACAGAGTGGAATTGGAAATAAGCGAAACATAGATTTAAAAGGCTTGAGAAGTAGGTCACCTTTAAGTCAAAGTTTGGACATGTGTCAGTATATTCTACTAAATTTTTATTAAAGTGTTGATGATCGATTATGGAATGCTGCACATTTTGCAGCACAAGGAGGAGATATTCGTATTTTACAGCTTCTTGCTGAAAAGGGGCTGTCCATTAACAAAATCGCTAAAAACAAAGTATCCATTCTTCATATTGCATGTAGTCAAGCAAATTACGAGATGCCTCAATATATATTGTCAAAGCATCCTGATATGATAGATAGTCTCAATAAATTTGGATGGAGGCCTGTGCATTATGCTGTAAAAGGCGGAAATGTTAACATTTTACAACTTTTGAAAAACAAAGGTGTCACTCTCAATGTAACCACAGAGAAGAAAGAAACGTTACTACAAATTGCATGTTTGTGTGGTAGATACGAGATTTGTCAACATCTACTGTCAGTATGCTATGACAACCTCAAAAGCGTGGATGAACAGGGATGGAATGCTGCACATTATGCCGCACAAGGAGGGGACATACGCATTCTACAACCTCTATCAGACCACATGCTTTCACTTAAAGAGACCACACAGGAAAAATGTACTATTCTCCATATTTCGTGCAGGAATGCCAAATACGATATGTGCAGACACATACTTAATGTGTGTCCTGAAATCCTACATGATGTCAATGAGTTTGGATGGAATGCTGCACATTATGCTTCACAGGGAGGTGTTGTTCGAATTTTACAGCTTCTAACTGAAAAGGGGATTTCCGTTAAAGCGACCAAAGAAGATAAATGTACCAGTCTTCATATTTCTTGTAGTAATGGGAATTATAAAATGTCCAATATTGTCGAGGTATCCTGAAATGATTGACAGTGTCAACGACTTTGGTTGGAGGACTGCGCATTATGCTGCAAGAGGGGGGAACATGAAGGTATTACAACTTCTGATAGACAAAGGCGCCTCTCTAGGTGTAACCACAGGCAGCAATGAGACATTACTACATATTGCATGTCTGTACGGCAGATACGAGATTTGCCAATACCTGCTGTCGGTCTACCCGGACAATCTACAAGACGTGGATGAGCGTGGATGGAACGCGACACATTTTGCTGCAAAAGGAGGAGACGTTCGCATTCTTCAAATCCTTGCAGACAACACGTTATCTCTAAGAGAAAAAACACATGAAGGATGTGCTATACTTCATATCTCATGTAGTAATGCTAAATACGATATGTGCAAACACATACTCCAAGTTCTTCCTGAAATCTTACACGATGTCAACGAACAGGAATGGAATGCTGCACAATTTGTTGCAGACGAAGGAAACACGCAAATATTAAATTTACTCTTTGAAAGGGGGCTTAAAATCTGACATGACATTAGCTGCAATAATGTAGCCCTCTCCGATTTTTTTATCTAATATTTTCTGGAGAGGGCTACAATTCCATCGCATCTCCGTAATGGTGCAAATAAATTTTTTTGATACGGGTGATTGGAGGCAAAATAAATTATTTTTACATTAAACTTACTTCTCATAAGACGGATTTTTTATTCACTGTCAACAACATAGCCTGTTAAACTCGAAAACCATGTAAAATAAATCTGTGTCTTTCCCAGCTGCAATATTCAGCAGCCATGACAGTTCACGCGTGACGTAGTGAGACTTTCGCTTGAAATTTGGAACAACCAAATAAAGCAAATGTCGATGTTTATAAACGATTGTGCTATAATATATTACACACAAAAACATCGATAAATAAAACCATTTCAAGTGTTATTTTTGCGCAAATAGCGATACGTATGCTTAAAATAAGGGAATTCCTAGTAGATCCGCTCCTATAGAACCTAAATTCCTATTGGCTGTCCCAAAATACAATCCATCAAGGTCAGTAAACATGGCGGATAAATTCAAGTTAAGCTATTGACTTACACGAAAAATAACCGATATATGGATCGTTGTGAATATTTTTGGATCGATTTATGTTTTGCATAATTACATATTTGGATTCCAGGTAAGAGATAATAATAAAATAGCCGTTTACTGATAATTTGAGCCGAAATCCGTGCGGGAGTGATCCACTGCCGCATCTGCGCCATTATAGAGATCCTAAGGAGTTGTAGCCCTCTCCCAAAAAAAAAAAATCGGAGAGGGCTACATTATTGCAGCTAACATGACATTGATTTTTGAATGACCCGAGTTAGAGTATTATAGTTTTTGCTCTGTTCTTGTGTCTGTCTTAATTTCCGCATGAATTTTAACCTTGGTCATAACTTGATTGGTTAGAGCAGTCAGCTAAGAGTTTTTTTTTTTACTTTGACCTTTTGACAACGATAGTGGAGTTTTCCCCACGTTTGAAAAAAAACCTTAGAAATAACTTTTAAATGGCCGAAATAGTGCAAGGGGTTTCTTAGCTTCAAGATCTAGTAAATCGAACTTACGATGCTTACAGATTTATCAAATTTGAGAAATAAGTTCTTTTTATGATTTTTTATAACTTAAGCTTGATCAAATAAGGTATTTCTAGTCATTATTTGTAGGAAACCAAGATGAAAAACCACATTTTAAACTGTCATTTTCAATAAAATATCAAGAAAACCACTTTTGAAATTGGGTGTTTTTTTCATATTCTACAAAGGAAATGTATCCAGATTGCCTACAGTCTCTCAGAAAAAGGTCATTTGTATGTTCATGGCCTCTTCTTTAAATATAAAATTTAAAATAGGTTTCCGGATTATTTTTCATACAATTTCAAATTGAATTCAATAAAAATACTCTACAATGGATACTTTGTAGTCTCAAGTCATTAAATAGATCTCGACCTTAATTTACGGGTGTTTTCTTTATATCAAGGCCTTTCTATGGGTAGAACAACTTGTTACAGTTTTACCTTGATCTTCAAGGTTGACTTGCATTTTTAGAAACATTAGTTGCCTTACAGGAGCATCTATGTTTTGTTCTGTGTGCTTGAGAGATGTCAATTACATTTGTATGTCAATAAAGATTTCATTAAGTGGTCAGCTATCTTTCATAAAATAGATTAAAAAATATATCAATTATTACGCCAGGCGTTTGATCATTTTAATATGAAACCAAGAAATTGGACAGATATTTCTTATATTAACGTGTTCTTAATTCCCTAAATTCACAAGCTACATGTACAAGGTCTGCTTCTGTCTTTATTTGTCCCGCCCCACACATGTTTATCTATGATCCTGGTAGATTTATGTAGAAATAAAGTATTTTTACTATTTGTAATTTTATCTCGGACAAAGACATTGGAAATGTAAATATTACAAAATACATGCTTAATTCAAAGTTATATTCAGAAAATTGAAAGAAAATTGACATTAAGATTCCAGATTTTACGCAAAAACAAATTGGGTAAACACATGGAATTCAGAATTATCAGGAAACTGAATTATAAGCCTTGTTTCAATAAAATTTGAATTTGCATGAACTTCTCATATTTATTACTAGTATCTATTTATAAATATTAACCTTTTATGTAGATCTCTAATGGTATCGTGAAAAAGGTTCTTGAAAAGATTTTACGTAAAAGCTATCTTTTAAAAAAAAGTTTATATGATTTATCCAATATTTTTCAAAAAATTGTAAATGTGTCACCCTCCCCCCTTCATAAGAAACTGAAATTTTCATGGGTATTTTATTTTCTTAAATTTATATCAGTGACTTTTTATTATCAACCAAGCATTTCTTTCTTCACAATATTTTATTTGGCAAAAATAAATCACACAACAGACTTTATAAGCAATTCAATTTCAATTGACAAATTACTATTTAAAAAAAATTCCTTTCATAACTTAGAAAATCCTTTACACAGTTAAATGTAATAACAATACTCAATGTAATCCAAAAAATTCTTCTAAGACATATTCATATAACTTATTTATTGTAGAAGTACTTTTTCCGTGTGGTATGAATTTACACTATGAACATGGTCACAAAATTTCTGCGGAAATTTGTCCAAGCGTACTTAATATAAATATAGTGACAATCTAGAAAATCCGCGTTATTTTCTATACGCAGATTAAACAGAAATTTAGATTCCACGTAATTATGATTCCATGGAAAAAAGTATGTCCACATTATTACTGCAATTCATTCTTAATTTCTAGGGAATGTTACATTACAAAAAGTACAAAACATGTGATTGAGTTCTCTATTCATTGACGGTGATAGTTTAATTCTCTATTCGTTGACATTGACGGTGATAGTTTTGCCCTTGGGGTCATCGAACCTGTCCTGGGTGGTGACGGAGGTCAACATGGAGAAGCCGTGGAGGAGAATAAGAAGAAGGACCGCGGTGGAAATGATCCCCATCCAGATCACCTCCGTAAAGAACGGGACACAGTCCCAGCCGTCCGAGAATTGATAGTTCACCACACCAAAAGGCTGCAGCTGTTAACAGTTAAATATTGTCACATTAATACTGACACCAGATAACTCACTAATCATAACTGGTAATTCACAGCAGTTGTAAACATTTCAATAATTGTAACTTTTAATCTGTTCAAATTGTGTTTGCATGTTTCATTTCTTCTCTGCACCATAAATGGATTAATCTGCATAACCTTCCATTTCAATTCTGAACAATGTGCAGTTAGTCTCAAGTGTAAACTTTTTTTATTTTTTACAAAACTCAAAAAACTTTAAATTTTGGAAATACAAATCAGTGAAGATTTATTTTTGTTTTTTCTTAAGCCACCTTTAACTCAGCCTACATGGCTTTATTTAAAAAAAATAAATAATAATAAAATTTCACATTGTGCATAGATTTATAGAAGTTTCTGCCTTTTAAAAGTGCTGTGTAAAGATAACACTATATTTTAAGTGACCTAATGAGGTCCCCCGTCAAAACCTTCCCTTCACACCTGCTCCGTTACCTGGAATCCGTCAAAGGACACGGTGATGTTGGCCCCCGTGCTGTTGCCGGCTTTTCCTAGGCTGGAACAGTGGTAGGAGAACCCCTTTGGGGCTGACACACTGTCCAGGGAGATGTTATTAGTTTGGTCGTTAAGGGTCAGTGTGGCTTCTACAACACTCCAGTAGCCCGAGACATTACCTACGGCCATGTTCATGCTGTAAAGTACAAACATAAGATATGATTAACAACAAGAGGCCCAAGGGCCTTATAGGTCACCTGAGTATCATGTAACAACTTTCCAGCGATTGCTTTTGGTTCGTGTTTTAATCCAAAAGCCATGAAATTCACAAATTTTGAAGAAGGCACCATTGCTTATCAAAGGGCAAATTTCAAAGCATTAATTTATTTTTAGTCAAAGTACCCCCCTGGTACCCCTGACCCAGCGTCCCTGAAAGTATCTATTTTGAAAGAGGCCCCTTTCTTCATTATAAGGCCAGCATTTTTTTTGTTTAGGTTTAGTTATGAGCATGATAATAAAAAAGTCCCAAAGGAGAAGGAAATCAAAATTTTTTTTGATAAATCAATTATTAACATTTGTACATTCTTTTTTATGCTATTATAATAGGCTCCTTACCAATAGACACATATAATGCTTACAAATAGGAAAGTAAAACATTTAATTGATTATTTCATCATCTGCCAGTTTGGGCCAGTTATATAAATTTTGTGATGTTGGTCAAAATATATTTTAAAAAATCAATTCTTTAAAAGTCTTTCAATATATCTTCATTTTTTTTAATATGTGTTAAGTGAATGTGTAGACATTGTTCTAAAATTTAATCCTATCATAAAACAGACAGGGGGTATTGCGGGTGTAGGGTGAACATTTTTTCAATCAAGTGTAAAATAATTTTTCTGGCTGATACAAATAATACTACATGCCTGTATATATTTGTATATTCTTGCCTTAACAATTTCTTCCTCAAATGGACTGAACTTCTCCCAAAGTTTTATTCATTACATCTGATGCATAAGCAACCCTTTTCTGAAGAATGATGCTTAGACTGTAAGCTATAACAGAGACCTAAACAATGTTGCTGCCCGCTGGCAATATGCAACAGCTACCACGGGCAGTTTAAAACCTGGGGAAGGAAAATAATTTACAGACAGATACTTTTGAAACGAATACATAATTATCTCACCAGCATGTCATTGTGCAACAAAGTCGTCAGCATTTTATTTGTCCTTTGAACAGGTGAAACTTTTTAGATGGCACTCATATTATCGATGAATTTTACACTAAACCAAGCTATCTTTCAGATCTCGCTTTATTTACCCGCCGTTAAAACCGGAAGTGCGAGATCGTAAATGTGAAATCTCGATCCCGACTCAAATTTGACATCGGAAAGAAAAAAAATTGTTTTATTTTTTTCTGAACATTCAAAACCTTGAGCGGAGGGTTTGTAAAACTGAAAATAAAATAAATCCTGGCCTTAAATATATAATTAGTTCATTAGCATATTAACCAGGATGTTCAAAGAATTCATGCATTTCAATATATAACGTTAATCATTAGAGCCCCACCCCAAAACAAGAACCCCTGACCCTGGGGCCATAAAATTCAAAATTTTGGGAGAGGCACTCTTGCTCATCATAACTATGTACTTAGTTAGTTTATTTAATACCCAGGAGCACAGGAGAAGATTTTCAAAGAAATAATGTATTTTCACTATATAATCAATAGAGCCCCGCCCTAACACCAGAACCCCTGACCCTGGGGCCATAAAATTCACAATTTTGGTAGAGGCACTCTTGCTCATCATAACTATGTACTTAGTTGGTTTATTTAATACCCAGGAGCAGAGAAGAAGATTTTCAAAGAAATAATGCATTTTCACTATCTACTTATTTAGCCCCGCCCTAGCACTAGAACCCCTGACCCCAGGGCCATGAATTTCACAATTTTGGTAGAGGACTCATTGCTGATTACAATCATGCAAACAGTTTGACTGCTTGATGTCCAGGAGTAAAGAAGAAGATTTTTAAAGATTGCATTAATTTTAGTGGTTTTGGCCCCACCCCTCAGGCCCCAGGGGGGCAGGGATCATGAAATTTACAATTTTTGTTCCCCTTCACCTATAGATACTTTGTGCCAAATTTGGTTGAAATTGGTTCAGTGGTTGCAAAGGAGAAGCTGAAAATGTTCAAATGTTAACGCACGACGGACGACGGACGACGACGGACAAAAACAGATAGCAATAGGTCACCTGAGTTTACTCAGGTGACCTAAAAAAGCAAGTGAAATAACATTCAGTTTGTACAAAACCTGGTAGTGTACAAATACAAAGCAAGCTAAACCTCTTAATGGTAAAAAGGAAATGTAGTTTAACATTCATGCACAATGAAAACTGTTTATTCCAACACTGGTGCCATCCTGTGAACACTACTACTACTAAATTAAACTAATACTAAATTCTTGTTAATCATTCTGACAAAAAACGTAGATTTCAGGTTAGACAGGTTTCACTGTATTCAGGTGGAGTATTTTATCATTCACAAAAAAAAAAGATTTCATTCTGACAACCAGAAATAAAATTAGTCACTTGTAGACTTAAAACTTGATACAGTCCCTGAAACGTTCTACTTTCCCACCTGAACGGTGAGCGAACGCTGAACGAACGCTGAACGAACGCAGAGCGAACGGTGAGTGAACGATGTGTGAACGCTGAACGCAACTTGGTGAACGATGTGTGAACGGAGAACGGTGAGTGAACGCAGAACGCGAACGGAGCGCAAACGGTGAACGAACGGTGAACGCAAGATGAACGATTTATTCGGAATGCCTTAGATTTTTTCCTTGCATTTAAACTATTCCGTTGTATTCTAATGTTAGATGCTAAAATATAAACAAAGAATAAATAAATAAGTGAATAAATAATTAAAACATTTTTTTTTCTGCACATACGTATGAAGTTTTAAATCAGTATTTTAATAACACGATTTTTATTGCCGTTAGAGCAGTCAGCTAAGAGTTTTTTTTTTTACTTTGACCTTTTGACAACGATAGTGGAGTTTTCCCCACGTTTGAAAAAAAACCTTAGAAATAACTTTTAAATGGCCGAAATAGTGCAAGGGGTTTCTTAGCTTCAAGATCTAGTAAATCGAACTTACGATGCTTACAGATTTATCAAATTTGAGAAATAAGTTCTTTTTATGATTTTTTATAACTTAAGCTTGATCAAATAAGGTATTTCTAGTCATTATTTGTAGGAAACCAAGATGAAAAACCACATTTTAAACTGTCATTTTCAATAAAATATCAAGAAAACCACTTTTGAAATTGGGTGTTTTTTTCATATTCTACAAAGGAAATGTATCCAGATTGCCTACAGTCTCTCAGAAAAGGTCATTTGTATGTTCATGGCCTCTTCTTTAAATATAAAATTTAAAATAGGTTTCCGGATT